TAAATAAAAAATTTAGTTGACTTTAAATTACAGTAACAAGTGTAATTAAATACTAATAATCAATAAAAATAACTTACCATCTATTATATTATTAATTTATTTTTTTAAATAAATAATTCAGTTGACTTTAAATTATAATAAAAATATAATAAAAAAATTTAATTTTTTACTTTCTATAATATTATAAAGAATATTAATATTTTATTTAAATTATAATAAATATAATTAATTGAATTAATAAAATAATTTACCTTCTAAATTATTAACATTTTATTTTAAATAAAAATTTGTTTATAAATTTATAATAAATATTAAATAAAAATTATAAATATAAATAATTTACTAACTAAAATATAATTAAATATCATTAAAAATTTATATATATATATAAGTTAAATTAAAATATAAAAAATAAATAACTTACTCTATAATATTATTAATTATTAAATATCTTTTAAATATAAATTAATTAAATTTAAATTAAAAAATAATAAAGTTAAATGATTTACAATCTAAGTATTATTATTAAATTTTTTTTAAAAAAATATTAATTATTAGATAATTAAATAAATAAATAATAGATAATAAATTTATTACTATTTAATTCTTCTAATGTAAGAGTATCTGAATCTGATTCTATTATAATATTTATTTTGAGAAAATTTTGGAATTAATATTTGTTGTATTACCTTTATCAAATAAAACTGTTTCTATTTTTGAATTTTAAACAAAAATGAGTATAATTAACAATATATATTACCTTCTAATGAGAAAGCTTTTTAATATCTAAAACTGGCTTTTTTTCTTTTTTCTTGTTTGATAAAAATATTTTTAGTTTCTTTATTATACTATTACCTTTATAATTATTATTAGACATTTTTATAATTTATAAAAATAAGTTTTTTTTTTTAAAAAAAAAAATTATTTCAATCAAATTACTTATATAACAATAACAGAATGTAATAGTAATACATATCGTCAAGATATGTAGATCTTACCGTTTGTATATATATGATGTGAGGCATAGCACTAGAAATAATTATAGAAGGAAGATCTGTGTTATGATAATAAATTTTAGTTTTTAGATAATTTGTGTAATTCCAATGACTGGCCATTTTTATATACCTTATTTTTACCTAATACTAATAATAACACCACTAATACTGACACTAACACTAAGAGATAGAGAATAAGGTAAAGGTAAATAAAAGAAGAATCTACTTCAAGAAATAAAGGTTGTTTAAATAATATTATTCTTTTCAAACAAAAAAAAAAAGATTTGAATCTGCTATAACGACACAGTCAGAGTCATAATAAAATTTTTTTTTCTACTATTATGTATTATCTATTCCTATTGTTGATTATTGATTTAATTATAAGTTAATTAATTAATAATTATTGATTAATAATTTGTTTATTTTTTTTTTAATTTTTAATTTTATAGGTTAGGGTTAGCACTCTTTTTGACGAATGTAGGTGAGACACTTCAAATAAACCTTTCAACTCATCACAACGATAACTTAATAAAGGATATATTACAACTAAAGCAGTATAATAACCATAACTAGTGGCGATAAAGTCACTATACACAAACTTAATCTAATTAGTAACTAATAAAAATAACCAATAGTGATAATTTGAATCGTAAAAATTTTTTGTTCTAATTAGATACAATAATTTTTTTGGTTACTTTCAATTTTTATTTAAAAATAATTATCATCACATTATTTGTCGACTATTATTAAAAACTAAACTAACTGAAAACACAGATTAAATTTTTTTTTTTAAAAAAAAAATATTGATATTTATAATCGAACTAACTAAAATAGATTTAATTTTATTGCTAAAAAACTAAACCAACTTTATTAAATTAAATCTTATTGCTTTGTTGCTTTGTTTGTTTATTAAGCTTTTGCTTATTGCATCTATAGAATTTTATGAAAACGGACTTTAATATAAATTAGGATAGCATTAATTAATCAGGGCTAAACTATAGCACCTATTTATATATAAATTAAGAAAATTAAGATAATTATTTTTGTGATTAATTGATTCAAAAAATTTCTTTACAGCAAAAAAAAGTCTTAATATAACTTATAAACGAAAATTTAGTAAGTAAAATAAAAAAATGATTAAATATTTCAAATATTCCTATTAACTGTCTTTAACATTACTTTTAATACTTTAGCATTAGCACTATCTAGTGAATTAGTTGTGTCAGTAGCAGCTGAAAGTATGTTACATAAATTTCATATTATTAAATTCTTTTTTTTATTTACTTATATTGTTTTATTTACTTTTCTTCTTTTTTTGAAATATTTACAGATAATTCATTAAATGATAATGCAGCAAGTTCAACTCTGGTAGCAATAACTCTAAGCAACAAAAACGAGGACTATACAATAAAGTAAGAAGCAAAATACTGATCAGAAAGCGATAAAAGATTCAAATCTGATTCTTATCTATGCAACAAAATTAAAAGACAATATAATAAAAAGAAAAATAAACAGGAACCTTCAAAGGATTCAAGCCCAGTTTCAACAAATAATCTGACTTCTGCACAAAACCAACAGGAGTTGTTAACAAATTCTTTATTATCAAACGAAATAAGCGCAGATCAATGGAAATCATCGCTATATATTTTATCAGATGACGATAAAGATTTAAGTTCATCTATTTTTGTATGAAATTACTTAATAATAATAATAATAGTGGACAAGATTGTCTTCATATAAAAGAATTATTTCAAAAATCACCTGAGAAAGGAATACGATAGGAAATCAATGATATCGATATCAGAGTTAATTTACAGCCAAAGTTACTAACACAATTCTAAAGCATGTCCAATAAGTTTAAAATAATTTATTGGCTAGCTCATCACACAAGTGTTCTGGAGCTAGCAATAAATATTTGAAATGGACTGATGAATAGGATTGGGACTGATAGGACAATTTTGACATTAACCACATTACAATATGGTAATGTATTACCATAACAATCACTTTCAGGAATTTCTCAGGTAGTAATGATGATATTTTTATATATAATGTTATACTAAATACTAGTTAATTTACTTTATTTCAAATTAGCATACCAAAAATCAATTATAAGAAAAATGCAAGGCTCTATTTCTTTAAACAAAAAATAATTTAACTGACTTATATGAAGAGTTAATTATACAGATGTGTAATATCTCTAAAACTGATGATAGATTAGGTTCACTAGTTAAAGATATAGGTAGTTAGTACAACATGTGCCGTTACAGATTGCATGTTGCTGTTATAAAGCTCACAACTGGATTCTTATTAACACATAAAAGGTTTGTATTCAATGGTTTTGTTTAATTACTCTTTTTTTTATTAATTGATTAAAATTAATCAATATTTCAATCAATAAATAGTGCAATAGAAATGTATAACAAAATAGATGTATATATCACTGATGAAGTTTGAAAATAGATGCTTCTGATGTACTTAAAAGCAACTGATCAATCGAAGTTGAGGAAGGATCAATTAATTGTTACCAAACTTGGTATCATCATACGAATGGTAACTAAAAAGGTCTTAATAATCATGATAAGGGAAGAGGATACATAACAGGTTATTAAAACATGTGATAAAATCATAATTGACTTAAAAATCCCTACAAAATCTGGTACAGTAAAGGAATTATTAATACGCAAACTCTTGGGTTAAATAAGTACAAATCAGTATCAAATCATTAATAATAGGTAAAATTTTATTTATCAAATATGCTTGCAATACTTTTGTTATATTAAAGTAATTTCTGTTTTTATTATTATAAATGTATTACTTAGTGTAGTTGTAAATGAATTAGAAAGAATACATTTATAAAATTGCTTTATATTTTCTATCTATAAATTTTAGTTCTCTTAAAAATGAAATAATTCAATACCAAAATGATGTGATGATGTGTAGTACAAATTATTCTTTGAAGTCTTAATCTGAAAATGAATATTAAGATAGCAGTGTATTTTCCAAGCATTTTCATATATTGACATCTGAATATTGTTATTTATGATGCTAATATTTGCAAAATAT